CTTTCGTGCGCAAGTCTTGTGGCTCTTCTTTGGCGATTGTCTTCAGTATCCGCATAATACTGAAGTCGACGATTCTTCTCGTACATCATGAGCCAGGCGATAGGTTCACTCAGATCACCATTTGCAAAGCGGTTAAATCGGGATACCCTGTTCATCCTTCCATCAGTCGATCCATGCAATGCTGGGGTAAGATGAAGCAACTTTGTTGCTCGGACAAGTTGGAGTTGTCTTTCAACACGTGCTACTTCATATCTTTCCGCTGCAAGAGGAGACAGATCTGAGGTATCTGACTTCTGCTGATCTATGTGTACAGCTCCAAATGCTTGCACGAAGAGGATGACGACATGTTGGAAGTGTTGGCAAAATACTTTCCGGTAATAGGAGTTGCCGCCTGTCGTCATCATCCCCTTGCGGTGGGTGCAACGACCCAGAGAGAGATGGAGATGATGTAGTACCTGGTTCGCAACAATGCTTGGTGCGTGGAGAGAAAAGGTCGCCGCATGTGCCACATGCGGCGTAACCAGGTGCCTGGCTGCTCGAGCGCAAGGATCCAGGAGGAGACAAACTGAGTAGTAGCTCTTTTCCTCGACCTTTATGCTGACGTTTTTGGTGTGTAGCCAGATTCCTCGCCGTCAGGTTCGTTGATCCTTCGCTGATGCAGAGGGGACATGAATACCGTACTTCCGTTGGGCATCGTGGCGCAGGTCCAGGTACGGGTGATGGTGGTGCCAAATCTTGGTTCACGACACCACTCATGCCGATGCGACTGGAGGCTCCAGTGCACAGCGATTCCACGTCAGTCCATCAGTATACCGCTGCTGCTGCTACTACCTTCCACCACGCTACTGAGCGTGCGTGGTGGAAGTGGTGATCTCACACGAATTGGCCAAGGGAGGTGTGTGTGTATTCGTCCTATTTAATATGGCGACAGTCCCCCCATTTTTCGTGGTGAGACTTGTACTACACCTTTCAGCGTATGTAGAGTACTACATTTTTCAGCGTATTTTTTCGTACAACTACAACCATCCAGGGTCACACAGGAGGGGGTAGCCACCGGGGCCATTTTCTTCTTGTTATTTATTTTCATGCCCCACGTTCGCCGTGCGTGCTGAATTTTATTTTTATCGCTATAAGGGTCCAGCCTTCCCTTTCCCTCGTCAACGGTGCTAACGTCGAAGTTTGGTACTCACGAGAGCTTTCAGCTATATTTCGCTTCCACCCGCACATATCGTAAATTTTCCACCCCATGGGGATTGAAACTCACGACCTATGCGACTAGCGGATCACGAGGATACCACTAGACCACCAGGGCTACCTTTANGCTATATTTCGCTTCCACCCGCACATATCGTAAATTTTCCACCCCATGGGGATTGAAACTCACGACCTATGCGACTAGCGGATCACGAGGATACCACTAGACCACCAGGGCTACCTTTATCTATCACATTTGATATTGAACTCATATCGAAGCTTAGGGCCAACTGGTGCACACCACTATCCACAACTAGCTATCAGCTGGAGGGACCCAGAACTAAAGCAACCAGACTGGTGATGGGCAACTGGTGTCGGCAGTCTATAGTACACAATTGATAGGTCATACCTGAAGGTTGATGGCGTTCTTGTTGCCCCTGTTGGTCAGCGTGGCGGTAAGAGAGCGCGGAGAGTGTGGGCAAACGCCTTGATCAATTCCTTCCTTCGCGTATCCCTTCGATGGTCATCTAATTGTGTCTCTTCGTTCGTGAACCTCCTGCTGCTTGTTGACACTGTTGCACCTTCTGTCTATCCGAAAGCAAGCGTGTTCCTCCGATTGTCCTTTGTGTCTCTCCGTTCGGGAGTCTTGCTGCCGGCTGAAATGAAGTTCTTCATTTTTCAACCATTTTGTGTGCACATCAGAGACACTACCGAAACTTCGACCATTTGATGATGCTCGAGTATTATTTAGTAAATCCTCCAACTTGAGCTTTGCCCTTGATTGTTGATATTTTTCTTCACATTTGAACTTGTGTCAGTTGCTAATCCCACAACCTGGCGAAGAATCCGTCCGTGGTCACAAAAATGATAGAGCCATCCAAAGATCTAAAGAACACATAGATAGATTCCGGCACCACACATATTAATTTGTATGTGTCGGCTGTGGTGGTGGGCTTGTTTTCGCAACAACAGAGCTATTTTCCAGGGTTGTTGCATGTGTGGCGATTCACGCATGAATCCAGAGAGTGCAGTTGCCGGCACCACACTCAAAAATTGCGTGTGGCGGTCGTGGCTGGTGGGCTTGATTTCGCCACATGGGTGTTCCGCGGTAAAGACGATTTGTCTCTCCCGCGGCGAGGAAAACCTCGAATAAACAACCGTTTTTGGATGCATGTCTTAAACGACGTTTAAAAGCATGAAAAAAAGAGAAACAAAAAATATGATCGGATCGCCTTGATCGTTTTTTCCCACCGCGTTGCCGATTTCGGCGCCTCCATTTCTCCTCGGCAATCGATTCCGCTTGGCCGATTTAGAGGGGGTAGAGCCACTCACAAAGTTGCTCAGACGAAAACTCGACGTGGGAACCGAGAATCCAACATCCCAAGAATTTTGAAATTGCTCAGCTACCGTCAGCTTTTGAGCAGCTGAAAGTCCATTGCAAATCAAAACTGGGACATTCCAACGATATATTTGTGATCCCCACCCCAAAATTACCCTATCTCGAAGTCAGGAGAGATTGAATCAACATGTAGAAAGTGTTGCGGGAGGGGGGATATTTCAGTGTAATTCCTAGTAAATCCAGGTTGTCCCTGCTTTCGCGCNCAAAGTTGCTCAGACGAAAACTCGACGTGGGAACCGAGAATCCAACATCCCAAGAATTTTGAAATTGCTCAGCTACCGTCAGCTTTTGAGCAGCTGAAAGTCCATTGCAAATCAAAACTGGGACATTCCAAC